ATCGGATTTCTTCTCATTCTGGTGCCCATTATTTTTTTGACAATCGTGTATGATTATAGTAGAGTTGTCTGGGTTTATTTGTTGCACTACAATTCTGATGTTGGGCGCCACTTGCTGGCTTTCTATCATATGGTTCGAACTCAATTCAGGAAGGAAGTTCGTCGCCTACAGGCTGATAACGATCCGGAGTTCGATACTGTTGCACTACAGACTTATTATGAAGAGTCTGATATCATTTTGCAGACCTCTTGTACTGACACATCACAATCAAATGGTGTGGTTGAACGGAAGCATTCTCATCAATTAGAAATTGTGCATGCTTTGCGTTTCCATGCCAATTTACCTCTTGAGTTTTGGGGTGAATGTGTGCTTACAACGGCGTACTTGATTAACCGCATGCTTCTCGTTACGATCGGGAATCGGACACCTTACCAGATCATGTTTGATAAGGATCCTAGCTATCCCTGTAACACCCTAACCCGGCCGGGTACTAGTTTTACCAAAATACCCTTAATAAACCGTGAAATAAAATAAGAACTGAAAATACTTAGAAAAATAGTGGAAACATTTCATAAATAACTTTTAAAAAATACCGAAAACAACTGTGATTACTTAAACACAAAGCCTGACACTTGGGTAAATTCAAACCTTAAAATCTCAAAATGATCTCCAGTCTATACTCATTATCATAAACTGAAACAACTAAAAAGTCTCTAATGCTACTGCTTTCTGAAAGCCTTGACAAGACATCCTCTGTGGTGCTTGTGCTACCCTCCTCTAGCTGGTTGCCCTCAATCTGCTCCTCTCGAACTCGCTGCTCTCTAACTCCTCTTAGTCCTTTTCAAACTGGCGAGTGAGGTGGGGTCAGTCTATGCCCTTACGTATATTAATTTTAATACTTGAGCACTTTGCTTAAAACACTCACTTAAACAGGTGGAAGTTGTTCGTACTTCCGCCTTTAAACTTTAACTCTTAAAATTGTGTTATCTCATCCTTTATCTTATTGGAGGCCCCTACCTCGACTTAGCTGGAGCCACTACTAGCTTTACTTACTTTCTTACTTCTTAAACATGACTACCCTCACAATGGGGTGCCCCTCAAATGGGTTTGATCACTGCAGAACGAATCACCATCCGGTGTCAAACTACGGCGTGACTATCGCGGAACGTATCACCATCCGGTAGCGCACCTAAACCTAGGCAATGGAGACCGCGGAACTCATCACCGTCCGGCTCCACGCCTGACCAACTACCGCGGAACGTATCACCATCCGGTAGTGATCAACTACCGCGGAACGTATCACCATCCGGTTGTGATCAACTACCGCGGAACTTATCACCGTCCGGTAGGGATCCATCTAGCTAGTGGCTAGCTAAGCGAGGCTAACTTATTCTTACTCATGACTTTCTCTTGCTCTTATCACTTTAACTTAATTGTCAAACGAAACGTAAAAGCTTTAATTAAGTACTCAAAGCTCATAACATATCCTTCAAACTATGAATTAAAAGAACACACATCATCACCCATAAACATAAGCAAACACACAATTTCACATAAAACAACTTCTTAAACACGTAAGGCAAATACTTGAAAAATACGTAAGGCGTAGAATTTAACCCCTTGAACACTCACCTCAAAACCGTGGAAACCGAATCTGAATCCGCTCTAAAAAAATTCCATGAATTGCTTCCACTAAATTCTCCTCGTTCCCACGACTCCATAGGCGTCGACGATTCCTCGATCGGACGTCAATTGATCGAGTTATGACCAAATAAACATTCTGTTAGTTTAAAAGTACCAGGTACCAAAACTGTAATTTTCCAGTCAACACAGTTGACCACGACCCTCTGTAAAATTTCCGAAATAATCCACCAACTATTCGAATTGTCCATAATGGTACTTGAACTTGATAGTTTTTCATCCAAACTTTCGATGCTCGTTTCTCCCTCGTCCGACGTCAGAATCTGATTTCGTCAACACGGTGATGATCCTGGGATTGTCCTCTTTGCATTGGTACCCTCCAATCGAAAAATACTTGGAATTGAGTTTCCTGGTTTTTCCGGCGAGCTACGACGAAGTCCCGGTGAAGTTCTAGCGCGACACCTTACTACATCGAAATTGGATTCCGAATCCGTTGAATGGTTCATAAACTTCTCCTGATTAAAACCTCGTGTTCAGAATCCTTCCTTTCCTTCTCTTCCTATTCCCTCATTTCCCCCCCTCTTTTTCTTGACGTGGAGTAAATCAGGGAACGACGAGGCGACGATCCGGGGAGGTGGAGTGTGGCACGACGTGAACCGGGAGAGCTTCTACCCTTTTTTCTGTCGCTAGCCTTGCTGCTGGTCGTCTGGCGGTGGTGATGTGCGACTGCTCCTACTCGTGAGGGATGAAGACGGCGAGGCCGGCTACCGCTTCCGTTTTGCGAAGAGAGACGAGAACAAGGAGATGGGTTGGGGCTTTTGTGAAATGTTTTTTTTTTCTCAGTCTTCCGCCTTTGCTCTCATAATAAAAATTAAGGTGGGGTAAAATAAATGGGAGGTGTTACGGGGGGAAAGGGCGAGGGTTACGGAGAGGGTTTATGGTTATTTTATTACTTGATTCCCACCCCTTTAGTTGCTAGTAACGTGTGGGTGATGGGGAGATAATCATAATAATCTAAATTTCCGCGAGTGCATATGAGATGATGATAATACTAACTATAATAATATTATTATTATCATTATTATTACCATTAATTCATGGATGCACCTCTTCGTATGTGATCGTCGATCCAACTGTTCGGTCAAACATAGACCCAAATGTCGGGGTGTAACAATCCCCATTTGCATAGTTTTGGATGTCTTGTGTATGCCCAAGATAATCGTAGAGGACTGGACAAGTTTGTGGATCGTGGTCGTGCTGGTATATTTGTTGTGTACCCTGGAACTCAGCGTGGTTATCGCGTGTACGATTTGGAGGACAAACACATACATACGTCATGTGACGTGCGATTTCTTGAAGAAAATTTTCCTTATCGGCTGTCTTCTGCTCCTTCCTCAACCTCTCTTCAAGGTTTGCCTTCGTCGTCTCCACATTCTCATTTGCCGCCGAGTTGGGATGATGTGCTAGACACTACTCCTTAACATGCTCCAGTAGAGCCCATGCAGCTTTGATCAACATCTCCCTCTATCCCCGATCCCACGGCGATGCCATGATCATCGAGTACAATGCTCTAGAATCGAATGGCACTTGGGAGCTTTGTGATTTACCACCTGGGAAGCGCTATAGCTTCTAAGTGGGTTTTTAAGGTGAAGTTCAATGCTGATGGGAGAATGGAACGATACAAAGCTCGCCTGGTGTCTAAGGGATTCACCCAAGTCGAAGGCATTGATTATCATGACACCTTTGCTCCAGTGGCCAAGTTGGTCTCGGTTCATTGTTTACGCACAGTTGCTGCTAGTCGAGGTTGCTTCGTCCCGAGCCGCACAGATCATGCCCTATTCACCTATCGACATGGTTCGACGTTTGTTGTGGCTCTCATTTACGTTGATGACATCATTTTCACAGGTAATGATATGGCTTTTATTCAACGGGTAAAGGATTTTTTGCATGATCGTTTCACTATTAAGGATCTTGGGCCACTCAAGTACTTTCTTGGCATTGAGGTTGCCCGGTTACCGCGTGGATTGGTTTTGAATCAACGCAAATATGTTCTGGATATCCTACTTCATTAAGCTTGGGTCATCTCCTATTTCCTTGCGCACCAAGAAATAGTCTGTGCTTGCGCGTTCTTCGGCCGAAGCAGAATAACGTGCCATGGCTAGCACAGTCAGCGAGATTGTCTGGCTCTGGTGGCTTTTGCGTGATCTTGGTGTGACACTCACCCGACCGACTCCTCTTTATTGTGACAACCAGGCAGCATTACACATTGCTGCTAACCTGGTGTTTCATGAACGTACCAAGCACGTGGAGATAGACTGCTACTTTGTTCGTGAACGGGTTCAATAAGGGTGATGTTTTGCCACTCAAGATTGCCATTTCTGAGCAGCCGGCGGATCTTTTCACCAAAGGTCTTAGCATTGATCCGTTTTCTCATCTTCTGGTCAAGTTTGGACTTCTGGATATTCACTCCTTCGCTTGTTGAGATCCCTAGACATGATTTTGTTCTTTTGCATAGTTTAGGGATCTCGTTGTAATTATGTCATCCCGTGTTTTATGTTGCTAGGGATCGGTTACTGCTGGGTATAAAGGAGCTAAGGGTTACACGCCCTAGCCTCTAAGAAAACCTAATCAAATTTAATAAAAGAACATCCAAGAACTCACGTTCTCCGTGGACTAGTCTCGTTCATTCATGAATGGGGAAACCACGTAAATCCGATGTTGAGCGTTACTCTTTTAGTTCGACTATTGGAATTTTACAATTTTCTCCAGTCTAGATTGCATTTATATGGTCCCTTTCCAAGTTCTTTGTTGTCCTTCCTAGAGGCCTGGAGCATTTGTGTGGCCAGTGGGGTGAGGAAATGAGTGTCTAGATGTTTGCCTTTGGCAGTGTAGTGCAATCTTTGGTTGGAGCAGAATGCCAGAATCTTTCCGGAGAAGTCTTTATCACAATTTTCTGTGATTTCAAAGGTGTCTTTTGTTGTAATTCAATGGATACATGTGTATGGTAATTCAAAGGTGTCTTACGTCACTTAGGTATTTTGGCTTACACCTCTCATGTAATTCAAAGGTGTCTTACGTCACTTAGGTATTGGTGTAGCTCGATTATGAGGTCTAGCACATCTCTCTATTTATAATTTTTGTATGGCGGCGTGATTAACCGCCCTTTTCCAGTAGTGGTATTTTGGCTTACACCTCTCACGTAAAGAGACTCACTTTTCTTGGCATTGGCAAATGTTAACGAAAGCAATACCCACCTTCTTCGAAAAGTGAACATTATAGTACTTTTAAAATTCATAATCGGTTAGAAAATATTTTAAATTTATAATTTAAAGTGGAAATAAATATAATTTAATTACTATATCAATTAAATCCCTTTAATCATAAAACAAAGGAGAACAGTAATTGGGTGATTTTGTAATAATAAGAGAACAAGAATTTTATATTATACACGTATTAAGCGTTATTGAATGAACTATTGCAAACTAATATACACAAGGGACCACAAATATTTCTTAACATAATACAACTACAGAAGCTCAAAGTAATTCAAGCATCAAGATACACTAATTAATATAATATATATTTCGATCCATTGGTGCAAAGTTATTTATTTATTTTACTTCATTATTTATTTATTTATTAAACTTCATTATGTAACATACGAGGTACAAATTTCAGCTGCTGCTCGGTCATATTATCATCATTCGATCCCCATATTATTTTCTTATTATATGTCAAGTTGTACACACTGAAGTTTTTCTCATATCAATCTCCAGAGTCTCGAAACTTAGAGCTTGAACTGCTGAAGAAGAAGAGACTCCCCATCGATTTCATTATTGTTAGCTATAGACATCAAGTATTCTGAGATTGTGGTCCCTCTGTATTTGGGAGGATTCTTATCTTCAGATAGTAGCTCCACAATGGGTTCATACTTTGTTGGGTTTGGCAGAAGGCCGGTGCTAAAAAAGCACGCCGCCGATATCCTCGGTTCATCGCTGCGATTTGCTAGCACCCTATGCTTCACGCTCCTGAACTTATCGTTGGACATAAGCTGGAAATATCAACATCATAGCATGAGAACATGGAATTTCCTTGGTGGACAATAATTTTCTGAACACATGCGTAATTAGCTGATAAAAACGAAATATTAAAACAATAAAATAAATAATTCGTGAAAGTCACAATGTCATTGCTTTAATGATGAATGGGGTTGTGGATTTTAAAATGAGGAAAAATTTTTTTTCTCAAAAAACCTTAATTAAAAATTAAATTAATATGATATGTTTTTTATTTTATTAACTTCATAGTAATAAATTTTTTTTAAGTATAATGAGAGTGTGTCGGATACAAATATCCAGCTACGTCAAACAATATTGAATTTTTCTAGCGACGAAATTGAGATCTCCCACAAAAATTTCGAACCACATACCTCGAAAACACTTGGGTCCGTATTGAAACACCAGAGTCTTAATTACCTGAAGCAAATCTCCGATGTTGATTACAAGGGAGCCCGGCAGAGGAGTTACGTCAACCCAGTGATCCTGATGGAGCACCTGAAGCCCCCCAACATGATCTTGTAGGAGTATGGTCATGAAATCGGAGTCTGTGTGCTTGCTTGTCCCCAAAGTACGATCAGGCTGAGGACACCGTGGATAATAATGACACACAATGTAATGTCCCATCAAGCAATCCTTTTTTCTCAGGTAATTTGGGTCAAGTCCTAGAGCCTCTGAGAGCAGCTCAAAGATCAGGTCGCCCATCCTAACCATCTCCTTGGAATACTCCTGTATGATTTCCCTGTTAGCAGCAGGGAGTTCTTCGTTCTTGGGAGGATCTGGAGCCATGAAGAACATAGTGGTGTCTTTCCAAGTAGCGACCTGCGGGATTACCATGTCATAGTTGCTGCTGTAAGCAATTTTTCTAGTGAGGTCATGTGTGAAGAACTTCATCTTCTCCTCGAGATCCTGCTCGTAGAACCTCTTGATTCCGGCTTTCATCTCCTCGAGAACGTTGAGTGGAACTCCATGGTTAAGGACCTGGAAGAACCCCCAAGTGGAGGAAGCATCTCGAACTTTCTCGACGATCTCCTTCCGCTTGGCTGGATCTGTGGCCGCGCCTTCTAAGTCAATGACAGGGAAGGTGAACTTCTTGTCATCACCTGATTTGCTGTCCAGTACGATTTCAGGCGGCGTGTAGAAGATAGGAGGGATTTCGGTCACTCCAGCGTCCACCAGCCCTTTTACACCGGCTTTCGTTGCGTCGAAGGCCCTGAACTGCGCCAGTCGATCAGCTTCAGAGATCGCCGAAACGGATGCCATGTTCTAAATGTTGTTCGGTTCTCTGTTTGAGGGATGCGGAGATGGAGCTTTGATTTCGATACTACAGTTATAACGTCTGTTATATATCAGATCCGGATCAAACCGACCGGTTCGAGCCACTAATTCGGTCCGGTCGAGTTGTTTAATTGTCAACATCAATCAGATGAATTGGGGCATATGTCCAAAAAGCCGTATGAGGGGCTGATGGAGAAGCAAGTGTCAATTGAGTGTAGTAGTGTCTTCAGCGTATCATTATGGAGTGCTTAATTAGCTAGGTTAGTTTCACACGTCTATATTTGGCTACGTATTTGTATCTACGTGAGTGACATTACGTTACGTACATGCATCAAATTTTTTGCGTCTCATGCACGTCCAGGAGTGTCAAAGAAAGAGATGAAGACAAAATGCCTATGTAGACGGATCATATACATCCTGAAGCATTCTTTGATGCTGCCTGCCCAAAACATGGTGCTATATCGCTTCTAATCACGATTTAGATCGTCTTCATAGAGAAAAATAAGATGAATAACTAACGGATGGACTGTCGCAGCTATTATGAAAAATTAACAAGTATACAAATCAGACTTACAAACAGCCTATACAATCAGTACATTATGAAAAACGTATTTGATAACCACTACCAATACGATTACACTCAAGCCAATACCGCTACCAAAAAAGTATCAAACAAGTACCAATACGAATACACTCAAACCAAACCAATACCATAATAAAATTGAACTAGTACCAAATAAATAAAAAATCAACTAATACCACATTAAAATCAAACCAATGCCGAAACTAAAAAACCTAGATATATGTTTTTATGTTTTCTGTAGAAGAGATTTAGTAAATACCAAATCGTTAAGACACTAACAACTACCAAAATAAAACCAAATCAATACCAAAACAAAAACCAAATATGTACAGAAGCAATGCCCCAAACCATCGTCGGAGTTAGCCCTGCGTGCATGCATTGTCTCTGTTGGCATTTGAGGGGATACAAAGAATGAGAGAGAGAGAGAGTGGAGGAGGAAGGAGAGTGGGCAAGGGAGGAGGGAGGGGATCGCGGGCGGTGTGGTGGGCAGGGGAGGGTGGTTAGGTAGAGAGAGAGAGGAGGGTCGGCAGTGGTGGGAAAGAGGGAGAGGGACGGCCGGTGGGTGACGGGAGGAGAGGAGAGGAGAGCTCGCCGGAGATAGTGGAGGGCTGGTGCTAATCGTTGGACCATTTATATTGATCGCCGAAACATGCTCTGAGGCGACCAAAACGGCAATGGTCGCAATATGGTTTACATTCGGAAACCACTATTCTGGTCGCCAATGGAATATTTTCAGCTACCATTCTTTTTAGTCGTAGCATTAACCTAAGACGACGGTGTATATACGACCACTCTGGCGACCGAAAATATGGTCGCAAAATGATTCGACGACCACTTTTCTTGTTTTCGCAATCATTTTTTGTGGTCATCGAATGGAATATTACTTGTAGTGAAGAGAGGGAGGGAGACGTCTGAGAGGGATGGGTGACGAGAGATTATGTTTTAAGGAATAGAAATCAGGTCTGGTATTTTTTTTTATTTCCAAAAGTACGCTTAATATAATCTGTATCATTTGGGTAGTCACCATGATTACTCAATTTGAGAGCAATACCCACTTGTGTAAGCAGACTCACTTTTCTTGGCTTTAGAAAATGTTAATGAAAGCAATATCCACTTTCTTAAAAAAAAAAAAAAAGACATAATCCTACCACTTTTAAAATTCGTAATCGGTTAGAGAATATATTAAATTTATAATTTAAAGTGGAAATAAATATAAATATTTAATTAATTTAACAATTAAATTCCTTTAAACATAAAATAAACGAGAAAAACAATTGGTTAATTTTGTGATACAAGATTTTTAAATAATACACGTGTTAAGAAATTATTCAATGAACTATATATTGCTTACTAATAATACACAAGAGACAATAAATAATTCTTCAAAATGGCCCCAATAACATAACACACCTACATAAGTTCAAAATAATTCAAGCATCAAGATTAATTAATTAGTATATAATCCGATCCATTGGATGCAAAGTTATTTATTTATTCAACTCAAATTATTTATATATTAAACTTCATTCTGTAACAGACGAGGTACAAATTTCAGCTGCAGCTCGGTCACATTGTCATCATTCGATCCCCCATATTATTTTCTTATAATTTCAAGTTGTACATACTGAACTTTTTTCTCACATCAATCTCCAGCCAAATTGTCTCCAAACTTAGAGCTTGAACTGCTGAAGAAGAAGAGACTCCCCATCGATTTCATTGCTGGTAGCCACAGCCATCAAGTACTCTGAGATTGTGGTCCCTCTGTATTTGGGAGGATTGTCTTCAGATAGCAGCTCCACAACGGGTTCATACTTTGTTGGGTTTGGCAAAAGACCGGTGCTAAAAAAGCACGCCGTCGATATCCTTGGTCCATCGCTATGATTCGCCAGCACCCTATGCTTCACGCTCTTGAACTTACCATTCGACATGAGCTGGAAAAATCAACCGCATATATAACATGAACACATATGTCATCTCTTAACCTTAACCGTAAGTTGTCAACATGTTAACCTGACCTGAAGCAAATCTCCGATGTTGATTACGAGGGATCCCGGCAGAGGAGTGACGTCAACCCACTGACCCTGATGGAGGACCTGAAGGCCTCCAACGTGGTCTTGCAGGAGAATGGTCATGAAATTGGAGTCTGTGTGCTTGCTATTCCCCAAAGTACGATCAGGCTGAGGACACGGTGGATAATAATGACACGCCAAGTAATGTCCGATCAAGCAATCCTTATTCCTTAGGCAGTTAGTGTCAAGTCCTAGAGCCTCCGAGAGAAGCTCAAACAATAGGTATCCAATCTTAAGCATCTCCTTGGAATAAACTTCTATGATTTCCCTGTAAAAAAATTTCCAAGTTATTTTAACTTAATTAGTCGCAAAAATCGTTATCGATTATTGTATCATACGTACCTAATAGCAGCAGGGAGTTGTTCGAGGCTGGGAGGATCTGGAGCCATGTAGAAGAGGGCGCTGTCTCTCCAATTAGCGAACTGCCGGGTGTACAAGTCATAGTTGCTGCTGTAAGCAATCTTTCTAGTGAGGTCATGTGTATAGAACTTCATCTTCTCCTCGAGATCCTGCTCGTGGAACCTCTTCACTCCGGCTCTCATCTCCTCCAGCACGTTGAGCGGAACTCCATGGTTGAGGACCTGGAAGAACCCCCAGGTGGCGGAAGCATCTCGAACTTTCTCGACGACCTCCTTCCGCTTGGCAGGATCTGTGGCCGCGCCTTGTAGGTCAATGATGGGGAAGGTGAACTTCTTGTCACCACTTGATTTGCTGTCCAGTACGATTTCAGGCGGCGTGTGGAATATGGGAGGGATTTCGGTGACTCCCGCATCCACCAGTCCTTTTACACCGGCTTTCGTTGCGTCGAAGGCCCTGAACTGCGCCAGTCGATCAGCTTCGGAGATCGCCGAAATGGATGCCATGTTCTGTTCTCTCTGTTTGAGTGATGGGAGGAGGGGCTTTGATTTTGGTGCTACTTATAGGTTACAAGTAAAGTAACGTCTGTTATATATCAGATCCGGATCGAACCAACCGGTTCGGGTCACTAATTCGGTCCCATCAAGTCGTTTAATTGTCAACGTTAATCAGATGAATTGGGGGATATGTCCAAAAAGCTCGATGAGGGGCCGATGGAGAGTGTAATGTCTCCAACGTATCATTACGGAGTGGTTAGCCAGGTTAGTTTCACATGTCTATATTTGGCTACGTATTTGGATCTACGTGAGGGATATTACGTTATGTCAATCAAAACTTTTGCGTATCAGGCACGTCCAGGAGTGTCAATGCAAGAGATGAAGACGAAAACCTAGCCTACGTACGTAGATGGATCATTTACATCCTCGAGCTCTCTCGAGCATTCTTTGATGCTGCCTGCCCATAACATGGTGCTATCGCTTCGAGTCACGATTCAGGTCGTCTTCGTGGAGAAAAAACAAGACGAGTAACTAACAGATCGACTATAGCGGCTAGTTCAACAAAAACAATTTGAACACCATGGCTTCGATTTCGAAGATGGGTAGATACGATCTGTGAAGCTACGCGCTAAAGTCCGACACTTCAAGATTCCTTTAATTCACTAGGTTGGGAGAGGAATCGTCATCAGGAAGAGGAACGCGCCAACTAAGCAGAGCGATGCTCTTCTTTAATTTGATGCACAGAAAGGGATAAGAACGGATTTTGCAGAGAACGAAAAATGTGCGAGGAAGGGTATGTACGCAGAATGAAAGAAATTATGTTGGGTTGCCCATGAGCTGCAAGGGCACCCATTTACGCCCAAAAATTCTGGTAAGCACTATCTCAAAATAAACTATGTTCAAGTATGTTCCAGAATGGCTTAATTGCAAGTTTGGTCACTCGAATTGCTACAAAATTTCACGTTTGCCACTCAAATTAATTTATTCCATTTATAGTCACTTAAATTAGGTTAACAGTCCAAGTTTGGTCACCGACCATTAGTCTCCGTTAACTTTTGCTGATGTGGCGGTCAATTCTTTGACCGTTAAATACATGACGTGGCAATTAAAAAATTAAAAAGATTAAAAAATTAAAATTTCCACCTCAACTATTAAAAAAAAACCCTTTTCTAATCTAACCTCGGCTCGGGTTGCTCTGTTTTTTCCCCCTTCCACACAGCTGGACTCCAACCTCAACTCCCAACTCGACGACACCAACAACGACCTCACCATCTTCGGCCCCAGCGACGCCGCGTTCACCAAATTGAAGACCCCCGGCCGGTCATTGAACCGGCAGGAGAAGGTGCAGCTCGTGCAGTTCCATCAGGCGATATATCGAGTGGACGATGTTCTCCTTCCCGCGGCTATCTTCAACCCCAAGGAGAAATCCCCTGCAGCGGCGGCTCCGGCTGCGGCGAAGAAGGTGAAGGCGGGTGATGAGTCCGACGATGAGGGTGAGGATATGGCGATGGGGTTAGCAAAAATATCTCGCGGGGAGTAATTGTGGGTTTTGGTTCTTTGTCACTTGGAATTTGTATTGTTGGCGCAAATTGCTCTTTTTTTGTGAGCGATGAAGAATTGCAACGGATTTTGGTATGGATTTGGGTTCCAAAGTGTGAAAGATTTGAACTTTAGTCGAAATTTGCTACTCAAAAAAGGAAAACAGAGTCCCAGCTGGTTTATGAAGGGATTCGTGTAAGTGAAAATCGGAAGCCGATTAGGATACGGAAACAGAGTGGCCTACTCATATATATACACGAACGAAACTGGAGATTCATTATAAGAGGGAAGCAGAATATCGTGTAGTGATGAAATTTTTCATTTTTAATTTTTTTAAAATTTTTAATTGCCACGTCATGCATTTAACATTCAACTATAAGAGTTGACCGCCACATCAGCAAAAGTTAACGGAGACTAACGGCCAGTGACCAAACTTGGACTGTTAACTTAATTTAAGTGACTACAAATGGAATAAATTAATTTGAGTGGCAAACGTGAAATTTTATAGCAATTCGAGTGACCAAACTTGGAATTAAGCCGTTCCAGAATGATATGGATGCTTTCGAAAAGGTTTCTTTAGTGACCAATCTGCTTTTCTCTTTGTTATTAAAAGGGGTAGAATGGTTGCGGAAGAAGGTGTTGAAATTGGGAAAATGTACATGTTTCTTGCTTATAAAACTTTGTTTATTTTCCCCTTAGTTCTTGGAGTTGCAACACAAAGATGCATAAGGGAGTAGCGGTTCATGAGGTTTTATAGGGTCATTTGGGATCAAATCAGCAGGATTGATTGCTATTGTTTTCCACTTTGCTTTCCCATCGTACTTCGTAATCGATCCTTCGATCCAAAAACAGAACCATATAGAATGCTTGAGAGTCCAGTGGTTTTGTCAATATTTGTAGGATTAATCCTCTTAATGCTTCTACATCAGTGTTCCTCAAGATGAGTTTTATTAAACTGCTGCAACAGTTAGTTATGGTCTTTTCAGAGAAGATAAAGGAGTCCTTACTGAAACTTATGAAACAGTTTATAGTGATGCTGTTAAGTGAAATATCTATGTTGGCATTGCTCCTTCTTGCAGTTTATTGTTATCCTCTGCAATATGAGCTCACAACTTCACATACAACAACTTTCATGTATGCGGGAAGTCACTGCTGAATGTCCTGGACAATATTTGTGGAGAAGAACCTACTCTTGAGGTAATCAACAATTTCTCATCTTGAATATGGGTCAACACAATCTACCAGCGGCAGCCTGCAGAATATGAACTTTTCCACTAGGCTAGGCTTCCCAAGTTCTAAGGGTGAAATTTCTCTTATAGCATTGTTGTATGTGAAATCTTGATAACACTCTAAGTTTGATCACTTATCAGAAAGTATTAGGTAATTTTACTCTATATGAATGTAGTTCTGCAGAGTTCCATTTTGGGGGAAGTGCTACCTGAGCAAAAGGTTGAACAGTTACAGGCTAGGAATAGGAAGAAGGGCCCTTTTGGCTCACCCTTCTGGGTTCATGCCAACTTTTAGTTTCTGAAAAATGGTCATCTAGCCTGATCCGAACTCAGCCAATTCCTTCACGTGGTTTAGAAAGTGTCATACTTTCATCTCTAACTCAAAACTCCCTTTGACCGTACTCCAATCTCCACGAATAAGGCTCTAAACCTACTACCTCAAACACCACTTCTGCATTAGTTCCTCAATTTTCATGTTTCTTCATAGCAACTTGGATGATTCCTTTGGCTAGAAATATAAACTTCTATTGTATGATGCTTGGGATCATATCAAGAAGTAAATAAGTTATATGTGGTTGACTTTTATTCATGATATGCATTTTTACTACTATATAGTATTTTAATTATTAATTTTAATATGAACATCAAAATCTTATATTTTATATTTAATCTACGATTTCAATTTTATCTCAAAATCTTATATTTTATATTTAAATCTTATATTTTATATTTTAATCGTCCGACACACCCTCGCCCGGAAATTTTGTGAAGTACCTATATATTTTTGGTACATTTTTTTTTTAATTCGGAACTTCCGACACACCTTAAATAATTATAAGCGACACCTTCATTATACGAGAATGATTTTCTTGTTATAAAGTTATTTATCTTAATTAGTAATACACAATAATAAGTAAATTCAAATAAGTTTCAAAGTTATTTATGCTTGTTTTAGAGTAACCCACACCACAACCTAGGGATGGCAAGATGGCGGGTTTGCCTAAACCAACCTCATCCCCATTTCCAAATATTCAAACTCATACTCTTCTTATACCCATGCAGTGAAAGGTCTTACAAACTCATCCCCATACCCGCGGTTTTCGGATACCCATGGGTAGTATCGCCCCAACAACTACTCAGCATTAATCAAAGAATATGGTGACAAATATGGATACTACCCACCCAAAATTATGGAACTAATACATAAGAGGATGAAAATACGGTTTGGTTGTCATCAATTACAGTTTAACACTTTATTTTTTCTTTTAATTACCATTCATTCGATTAACAAGTTACAATACACTCCTTATATTTTATGTATATAACATAATATCCTTGGTGGGCGGGTTTGGGTATGGGTATGGGGCGGGAGAGTCAAAAACCATACCCGCCCATACCCATCAACCTTTTTGAGGGTTTTATCCATACGCCCCTCATACCCAGTCAACGCAAGGATTCCCGCGTTGACTGGCCGGAGGAGGTCGGGTACCCTCCCCCAACAATGGAAAAAATAAACATAACCTCATTATTTCAAACTCACCGTTTTCACCCCTTGACCCATCCTTTATTGAAAATAAAAAACTCACCCTTACCCCGTTTTAGTTTCTAATTACTGAGAGCCACTACCACTTCTCCCTTTTCTTTTACCCTTTAGCTTTACTTGCTTTTGGAAGTTGGTGTTGACTTTACATGTTGCAATTGAAAGTTGCGAAAGATTTCAGCTGTGAAGATAATAAGGAATGAACTATGAAATCGGTTGAGTGATCAATTTATGAATCATTGTTTAGTTGTGTATATCGAAAAGGATTTGCTTCGCAACATAAGCAATGAATGTATTTAAAGATATTTTTAGTAAATATGAAATTTATGAATTAATTTCTAGTAATTTATATTTAATTTCTATTAATTTTTAAATAAATTTTTAAATTAAATTTTTAATTATTATATTTATATATCGGCGACACACCTCTCCGACAATTCTGGGTCCGCCACTGGTGATAACCGATGTTAGACGGTGGTAAATAGTGATTAGCTTATTCCTACTATCATGTTCCACAATATGATATCTTCATACCACCATGGTATAACCTTATATTCTATGAAGCATTATCACCATGGTATAGACTAGAAATATAAGTCTCATATTTTTTTTTTGGTCTAACATATACCAAAGTGTATGTTATTTTGAAAATTATAAAATCTTATTTTTCTATGCAGAAAATTTGAAATATGTCAGAACAAATTAAAGTTTTTTTTATCAGTAGCCAACTTAGTTACGTTACTAAACAAATCCATTGTCAATTACTTTTTGACTACATTATTAATATGCTAGGAAGGTATTATAAGATAAATAACTTAATTATGAAGTTGCCTTATCTCCCTTACTATTGATATCTTGCCTTATTCTTTTTTCTTTCCCTATCTTTTTCGTAAGCAATTATGAAGCTGCCTTATGTCCTTTTTACTTTTCATGTCAATAATTCTATTGAGGCGTTGAATACTAAATTTTTTTTTCTTATAAATAGCAAAGCCAAATACAAACGCTTTCATACCAGTGAGAAGACATAAAACTAAAATATAGATCTATATCCTTCTATAAAATTTTCAAGAGAAATGGCTAAGTCTTCAGCACTATACTTCTTGTTCTTCCTTATCGGTAAACTTTCTGAGTGTTCTTCTTGGCATCTCTTTTCATTTCGCTCTAATTCATTTTATAAATTTTATTTTGAATCATTCATGATATGGATGCATATATTAGGTAATTCATTGCCTTATGTACAATTAATTATACATGTGTGCAAATTGAAAAGGTGGAAACAAGATGATAGCAGAGGCTAAACATTGTCACACGACTTGGGACTGCACCACCTTGGATCGCTGTTGGGATGACTGCAAGAGCCGCTATGGCGGGAGAGGACTTTGTGATGTCATCCCACCTCCCGCCAGTCCTAAGCAATGCTTTTGCTATTATGAATGTTAAGAGGGGAGAAAAATATAAATAGTCAATAATTCTGATTAATAAGAAGTGTTATAGTTTTATATATGGCAACCAAAATGTGTATGCCTGGGTTATGCTTTTTTATCATTGATGCAACACACCTAACAAGGAGAATGACTTTAATCTTGGGAAGATCTCCTACAGTTCTTTCCAGATAAACAAACAATAATATCATATGCATTAGGACACATCTAATCAATCCCACCAAATAAGGAGGATAAGGAGAATATGATGACTTCTCTATACATGCTCAGAATAGTCCCAGACAAATTTTGTGTATATAGGTGTACTTTTTTTGTCACAATCACTAGGCAAGTTGTTCATATACTCAGAAGTTAATTTCTAGATTTTGTGCAATGATGAAAAATCCATTAAAGCTGGCAATATAAGAAAAGGAGATTTTGTCCCAATCTTATGCTGAATTTGAATATCAAGCCATGACTAGTTGACTTGTGAGATATTATGCATATCTATTGAGTTTTTTTTCTTTTGAGTTGCTTGAGCTTAATGCAACTTTTGATCAATCATAAAAAAATTATGTGGGAGACATGTGACATAAAGTGGCAAGTTTGGAGTTGACATGTCAAAAATATCTTAAAAGAAAAATGCGTAAAATATCTTGTCTGTTTCATTCAAAACTTTCTTCTGATGCATATTAAGAAAATATGAAAATATAAAAAGTGAATTTTGACTGGTCAAAGATATCTTAAAAGAAAAGGCATAAAACCTCACTCAATTATGATGTAGCCTTAGTTTCCTTACTTTTCCATTATCTTACACCTTTTTCTTTCTCTATCTTTTTCATTGCTAAGCAGTTATGATGTTGCCTTATATTTTTTTCTTGTCCGTTTTATGCAGAACTTCCTTATAACCCATAGTAAGAAAAAAAATGAGAATATAAAAAGTAAATTTTGACTATTCAAAAATATCTTAAAAGAAAAAAGGCTTAAAACGTAACTTAGTTATGATGTAGCCTCATTTTTCTTACTTTTCCATTACCTCTTGCCTTTTTCTTTCTCTACCTTTTTCATTGATAAACAGTTATAATGTTGCCTTATGTCCTTTTCTTGTTCGTTTCAAGCAAAAGTTTCTTCTGGCGCATATTAAGAAAATATGAAAATATAAAAAGTGAATTTTGACTGGTCAAAAATATCTTTAAAGAAAAAGGCGTAAAATGTCACTCGATTATGATGTAGCCTTAGTTTCCTTATTTTCCCACTATCTCACGCCTTTTTCTTTTTCTTTATCTATCTTTTTCATTGGTAAGCAATTATGATGTTGCTTTATGTCCTTTTCTTGTCCGTTTTATGCAAAAGTATCTTCTGACGTGTTGAAAAGTAAAAGAAGATTTTCTTTTAAATAACAAAACCAAATACAAAGACAAACACATAATTGAGAAAACATAAAACTAAACTTATAGAACTACCTCTTTCCTCTCTGGTTTTCCAAAGACATGGCTAAGTTTTCTGTACTATGCTTCTTACTCATCCTTATGCTCATCTCCTCCTCAGGTAAAATTGATTACGATAAATATGATAAACAATCAGGTGCAGATGAATGTATATCATTAGTTAATTTATTTCCGGCGTACAATTACTTATACTTGTGTGATGATTAAAAAAGTGGTGGAAAGATGGTAGTGGAAGCTAAAGAATGTAAGGCAACATGGGATTGCACCATTGTAGATCGCTGTTGGGATGACTGCAAAAGCCGCTACGGCGGAATAGGACGTTGTGATCACATCCCTTCTCCTTTTGTTCCTAGGCAGTGCAATTGTTCTTATAAATGTTAAAGGGGAAAAAACTATCCATTATCAATAAGTCGTACCAATAAGAGAAATGTCATTCGTAATAATATATATAGTAACTGGTAACACCAATGTGTATGCCTGAGTTATGCTTTTATTAATGGATCACAAACCTTTTCTTCAACTCTTCCCAAAGAGGTGCGACATTCTCAAGTTGCATGACTATTCTCCTGATCTCTTTCTTAATGGAGATCACAATCCAACACAAAACAAGAGTGCTACAAGCATCCAGCGAACCATAATTAGGGTCACTTAGATATGCAATAGGGACAGATCCATCGATAAACTTAATCTTATGTTTAGTTTTCAAATCCATTCTAATTGCTCGCTGCTACATCAGGTAATTCACACCATCTATGTTTTAGACACAATTTACTGCACGATATTTTCGTTCGCATTAATGTATTAGGGGTTACCAAACAACATATCTTGATGCCCATTTGTTGCTATTTTTGTTGTTGTTGTTGTTGTTGTTGATTGTGCTTGAATGCACTTCATGAGTACAAAATTGTATGGCACCAGCACTCAAGGGAATTCCTTTAGTAGATTGAGGTGATAGAGTTGTTATTAACGAGGTCGTTAGATTTGTTCCAACTTTGATACAATATAGAGAAGCTCTGTGAGCTAGGGTTATGAGAAGGAAGAAGAAGGTTGTATGATTGTAGGGAACCCACAATAGAGGAAGTTCCTCTTTTGCCCTGTATATATATGGGTAAACACATTAGCCAAAACTGTTAACTTTTAATCCAGTAAACCATTAGTTGACTTTAACGCTGCAAAATATTAACTGAGATAAATGAATTTTGATGATGTGGCAAAAAGTCAAACTTTTGACTCTCTGCCACATAGATATTCGATAATTTTATCAATTAATTTTTATTTTTGAAAAAATGAATAAACTAAAACTCAATAAATAATAATGATCAAATTAAAAATATTTAATTTCTACTGAAAAATTAAATTCACTAATTAACCTACCCAACCCCACCGCTCTCCTGTTGCCGCCATGAAAGTCCTCCCTTCCCTCCACCCACCACCAACGCATCCACCTCCCCTTCCCGTCTTTCTCACTGAAATTAATATAACACCCTCCATCCCTAGAGACAGACATGATAAGGAAGAGATCGGGTCATACGGGATGTTATGTTCCACATTTGTTACACCATACCCCTCTAATCACTCTAAATTGTTAGACACATATGTTAACTCTCTTGTGTATAATAGTGATTGATAAAAATAGAAACTCAGTGAATTACCTGAGATTTCATGGTATCAGATCCCAAAGCCTAAACAAAAAATCAATCCCCATCTGTTCATCTCGGCTGCCAATCTCCCTTTTTCTTTTCTTTCTCTCTATCCCTGCTCTCTTCGTTCTCCCATGGCGACTAAAACCGCCTCCCCTGCCACCTCTGCGCGCAACTTCAGAATCTCTTCCCTCCTCACCCCAAATTTCTATCAAACTTACTCCCACCAACTTTCTCTTGTGGAAGATTCAACTATTGCCTCTTCTTCATAGCTTTGATCTAGATCAATTCATCGATGGATCGTCTCCCGTCCCACTCGCCATCTTGACTCGTCTAGTTGCTGCTTATGGGGTTGCGAATCTCCATGCTCTCTGCAACCTCAAAGATAGATTTGACGCCCTCACATGCTCTTCAGACTCCATAGACAACTACCTTGCTCATACCAAAGACATTGTTGGATCGCCTAGCTGCCTTCAATTACCTTGTGTCTGACGATGATCTCGTTGCTCGCTACCTCAAAGGTTTCGGCGAATCTTTTCTTCCGTTCGTGTGTGTCCTTGAAGCTTGACCCGAGGCCTTTTCCTTCGACGAGTTCCATGGTCTCCTCCTCAACAAAGGAGCTCGTCTCCATCAACACAACCTTCTCGCTTGTGACTTCTCTCCTTCATCTAACTAAAGTCGCTCTGGTTCTCATGGCAGTGGCGGAAGTGGGCGGTCCACTTCTCGTGGCGGTGGACGGCTGACTCTATTCTCTTCACCAACCGGGCCTCCCTTTCCAACAAGCAGTAGCTCGCACCACTTACCAGCATCGCCTTCTTGGGCCAATGCTCTTTTCTAGTCTCTTTTTCTCTTTTGCAGGTTCCATCCCAATGTAGTGTTACACATGCCATGGGTTTAGTCACATAGCCCAACAATGTTCCACCCTAGCTCACCCATATCGTCACCATCCCTCAGCTCACCTTGAAAACACCCCGACCTCTCAAGAGTGGGTCCTAGATTCTAGTTCCAATTATCATCTCACGCCAGACCTCAACAATCTCACCCTTCATCCCGAATACAACGGTCTTGATGAAGTCTTATTTGTAGGTCTTAAGTCCTGGGAATACTGGATTAGACACTAGATGAATATTTTCTTCCTTCCGAAGAATGTTATTAATGAGGTTGAGAGGATTTGCAATCAATTCCCACTCAGATACTAGTTTGAGGACTAGGGTTCTTGTTTCTTGGCATCTTATAGCTCGTCCTAAGAAGGAGGGCGTACTAGGCATTCATAATTTTGTTTTCTGGAATAAGCGGTGTGTTATTATACATGCATGGAATGTCCTAATTTCCGGTGGTTGTCTCTGGGTTAGGTGGATTATGAGATATCGGCTCAAGCAAACGTCATTTGGAGGCGTCTGTTAAAGTGTCACAGTGTGATTCATCCCCATATAACTAGACAGAGAGCCTCTCAGCTTTGGGATGGGGAAACAATGTCTCATTATTTATACTTTGGTTGGCTGTTATGGAAAGATTGAGAACCCAAGACAAGCTTCTTGCTTGGGGAAATCAGCAGCGTGATTATGTGTTTTATGCCCGTGGGTGTGGAGACTTATTTCCACCTTTTCTATGTTTGCCTTAGTTGTACGTCTTAAGTCGCGGGAAGAAGGGGTTAAATGGTGTTCCTTATGTATATGCTTTTGTGACTGATAGTTTGTATTGTTGAGAAGCGCTCAAAGGGTTTCTTTACTTTGAGTAGGTTAAGCTTAATGCAATTTTTTATTAACCATAAAAAATGATGTGGCAGACATGTGGCATAAAGTGGCGAATTGGAGCTGACGTGGGAGTTGATGAGGTAGCCACATCAGCGTCTCGTTAATGTTATTGATATTGTCTCTAACATCGCTTATTAATTTATTGATATTGATAATCATCTTTATTAACATCTTCTACTTTATTCCAACATATTGTACTAATTCCATCAAGTTGATTAGCTTTCGTGCTGAATATTCAAACCAACAACATTTTGCTTGTCTACATATAGATTGTTACGTACTACTACCGCTTGTACTTAAAAGAAGTAATTGTTAATCAACTATGCTTCATTATTGAAAGGGTGGTACGTTTTGAGAGACTGGATCAGACCTTTCACTGTTCCCGCAGCTGCGACGAGTGAAACTAGCAAACAGATGAAGCTCAAGGCCTGCAGGCACATCCAGGAGACGGAGAACTTTGCAACCTTCGCTCGAGCGATGTACATCTCGACCGGAAGGTAGACGGTCAGAGGCCAAAAGGCGGCTGCCCCGATAGGGCTGAGAATGACATTGAAGAACGGGAGGAGCATGGCCAAGACTGTCGTCACTGCCACGTATGCAGACCTCCAAGTCAATCTGAACCAGTTGACGTGGAAGTTCGTGCCACCCAGGAATGGAATGGTGATCTGGTGGTCCGTCGTCACGAACTTTACCTCTGGCCACCTCTGACGACAGCTCGTCTCCACAAAGCTAAAAATTGGTTGCGCAAACACCTGCAGCCCCGCATATATATTATTAATTAAATGAATATCTTTATATAAGGCAATTAATGAGGAATTTAATTAATTAAATTGAATTTACTTGGTAGGCGCCGATGAGGGGGACCGGTTAGTATAACAACACTAGTCTCCAACCAATAGGAAGCTAGGATTGTGATGATTTTTTATTAGATTAGTTGACCTAGTGTAAAATCAAAGCAGGGGTATAATTGTCATTATGAAAAATCTGTTTAAATAATAAAAAATAAAAATAAAAATAAAAATAAAAATAAAAAAATATTTTTTTATTTTCTGCCCAAAAATTTGGTCGTCGGAATTCGGTCACCGGTCGCCGGAATCTAGTCGCCGGTCAACGGAATATGCTTTTTGTCGCCGGAATATGCTATTTTTCATCGGAATATGCTCACCGTCGCCAGAATATGCTTACCGGCGTCGGAATATGCTTACCGGCATCGGAATCTAGTCACCGGGGCCGGAATATGCTTATCGGCGCCGGAATCTGGTCACTGACGGTCATCAAAGTTTGGTCAATGAACTTCGTTGACCGGTCAACGGTCATCGTTGACCGGTCAACGGTCAACGACCACCGGATGTATGGTCTACATTGTGAGATTTATGGTTTGGTTTCTCACATTTTTGTATGCCTTTTGTGGTTTGCTTTATCGCGTTTGTGGTTTGCATTACGAAGTTCCTGGTTTGCTTTATCGTATTTGTGGTTTGCATTGAGAAGTTTCTGGTTTGCTTTCCAAAACTTTGTGGTTTGCATTGTGAGGTTTCTGGTTTGTTTTAATATATTTGTGGTTTGCATTAGAACGTTTATGGTTTGCTTTTTTGTGGTTTGCTTTAACGTGTTTTGTGGTTTGCATTATGAGGTTTCTGGTGTGTTTTTGAAAATTCTGTGGTTTGCTTTGTGAGGTTTCTAGTTTGTTTTAATAGATTTTTTGTCTGCATTAGGATGTTTCTGGTTTGTTTGTGTGGTTTGCTTTATCGTGTTTGTGGTTTGGATTATAAGGTTTCTGGTGTGTTTTTGAAAATTCTGTGGTTTGCTTTATGAGGTTTTTGGTTTGCTTTAATAGATTTTTGGTCTGCATTAGGATGTTACAGGTTTGTTTTTGTAGTTTGCTTTATCGTGTTTGTGGTTTGCATTATGAGATTTTAGGTGTTTTATTTTATTTGTTTTATCGTGTTCGTGGTTTGTATAAAAAAGTTTCTGATGTGCTTAAAACATCAAATTTCAATTATATTCCAAATCAATTAAGAGATAAACACTCAAATTGCTAATAGTAACCGTACCAGTGACCAAAAAATCCCCAAATCCAACAATCAAATTTCGAATCCCCCTTCTTCCCCATCTCCAAAACCCTAAAAAAATCCCTCAAATATGTTGTCCATCCCAGAAGAGCCGCTCCTGGCCCCAAACCCCCATTCACCACCAAACCCCACTTCTCAGTTTCCCTTCCTTCCTTCGTTCCTCCCTTCTTCTTCCTCCATCAAATTATTTCTCACGAAGTAAAAAACAAAACTGAAATGGTTTCTATGGAAACAGTTCAACCGGCAGTCAATAAATCCACCACCATGGATCAACCGACATCAAGCCCTAGAATCTCATTCTCCTCCGAATTCCTCGACGAGAACAACTTCATCTCCATCAGCCCCAACCACCGCCCCCGTGAAATCCAAAACCAGAAACCTCCCCTATCCCCATCGCCGATTCGAACCGCTGCGGATCTCCAATTCGAGTTCCTCTCCAACACCGGGCCGGCGGCGGCGGCGGGGCACGCCAAGATGCTGACCGCCGACGAGCTCTTCTTCGAAGGGAAGCTCCTCCCGTTCTGGCAAATGCAGCAATCGGAGCGGCTCCACAAAATCGGCCGGTTCATGAAGGAAGTGCAAGTCGCCGAGGCCAGAGCCTTCTACGGGTTCCAGATCGCGATCGAGAACATCTGTCACTTCCCCTGCCGCTTACCACTCTCCCGCCTTCTCCGTTCTTCCGCCACCGTCACTTCCGTCTGCCGCTACCGTCGCGAACTCCATCTATCTCTTCTCTTTGTGGCCGTTGCTGCTGTCGCTGGTTGTCGTGAAGCTCTGGACGGAGAAAGAATGGCGGAATTATTTTGGTCGGTGCAAGGAGATCCAACCCCTGTGTACTTGATATTCGCCGGCGCCGGAGTAGGGTTTCTCCGCCGGAGGAGAGTTGGAATTTGGGAATCTCATAGACTGCAGTCGGACTCGGAGGAGAACGCCAGCGTGGAGAAGGAGAACAGAGCGGAGGGGAATTGGATTTTGGGATCTGATTAATTGTTATTTTTATTGTAAGTTTACAGTTTTGCCCTTAATGAATTAGGTTGTTACTGTAACAACAGATAGAGTGTTGTTATTGTATCACGTCCCCCGATGAGGTGGATAGCGACGCAGACGTTGGCCACGTTGAGCAGCCACAACGGTTGGTAGAATCCGGAGCCGGAGAGTAAGTCGCCAGGCGCGTGTTCTCCAAACGCCGCGTATCCGACACAGCCGCAGAGGAGGTAGAAAATTGTTGTAGTTGATATGCCCACAAAACTCGCCCGTTTCATTGTTTTATTCTCCGCGGGGCTCGATTTCAGGGTGTCCTGTGTCCATCCGTGCGTGCATGTCTCAATCAATACTAAACAACGGGCTCTTTAATAATTAGTTAAGTAAAGAAATGAACATTTGCATAAGTAAAAAGATCGAGATGGGGGTTGCATTTAATTGGGTAGCTTACGCCATGCTGATAGACGCTGTGATCGTGTAACCGACAGTGACCCCAACAAGGTTCGCATACTGAGCCACACCGCAAAACTTGACCTTGAAACCACCTAAATGGGTCCGGACCGCGTCCATGTAGGTGTAGTTGCGCTGGCCGGTGACCGGGTCCGGGTGGCGGTAGGCGTCGGCGAGGAGGGTGGAGGTGAAAAGGGTTACGAGGGAGAAGATGATGAGAGTGGCCGGTCCGGCCACCCAACCCAGGGATAGAACGCCTGATCCAATTACCGCTGTAATGATGTGGGCGCTCGCCGTCACCCAAGTCCCTGCATTGCATACACAAATTAAATGAATAAATAATGTTCAATAGTTAGGGACAGAAATTAATTGAGCAATTATATTAAGCTAGCACTGATTAAGTAACTTTAGTCAAAATCGATGGCTCAGAATCTAGCTATTTATGATCATTGAATTTGCCTACAGTCACTTTTTTTGAACTGGCGGTATCAACCGACACTACAATTTACCGACGGTTTTCATTAACCGCGCGCCACGAAATAATTTAGTGTCAATTGATGCACCAACTGACCGTGGGTAACAAGTTTACTGTCGGGTAGAAACAAACAAGACGCTAAAATGTGAAAAACGGACGCTAGATTCCAGTTTTGTTGCAGCGTAGCTAGGTGGGTTAATTACCAGTTCGCATTGGGCGGCCATCATCGTCGACTCTGGTCGCCATAAAGCTTCAGATCCGCAACGAACAGTAAATGGAACTGATTAATAGTGGCTGCCTGGTGATATTCCTATTTGGCGTTGGTGATAATTAATATGGAGGGAAAATTAGTAGCCTAACCCCTGATGTTAACTAACCTATCAAATCACGTAACTAACCTATCAAAGATATTCGCACCATCAGTAGTGTACTCCATCTTTGGGAAATCCTCACATACAGACTACAATGGCAATGATCATCTGTTTTTCAATCTCTCACAGAGTCGAACTTCACTAATGGGAAGATATTGTTAGGAACGGAACAACAAAAGGAACGAGGTTACCGAATCTGGAGCTGAGTCGCGGACTAGGTCGCTTTCTTTAAGACGTTCGCGGCACTGCCTTCGATGCGCACGGCAGACTATCAACCGGTCGTCTCCAGGATAAAACAGTTCCTCTCAATACTCGCGGTTTTGTGCGAAAACCGAAGCTCTCTAAACACTCTCTCTATTGTGTTTCTGCTCGTTGTGATGTGTTTAGAGGGGCTGGGGAGGCGGCTATTTATAGGAGCCGAACCCCTATGAATATACCCTCTTGCTTGGGGAATAAGTCGGATTAATTAAGGAAGATAATTACTTCCTTAATTAAAACCGTCGGTTAAGATAAACCCGGAGGGATTATCCTTCGAATATTCCGTTTTAGTCGATTATCCTTAGGAATATACCTCAGAATAACAGATTAATAATTAATTATTAAATAATTAATTTCGTTCGGAATTTCTCCAAAAATATATATATGGTCTCAAGTGAACCAACCAACCAACCAACCGACCGACCGGACGGACGGACGGACGGACGACGCGCGCGCGCGTGTGTGTGGTGGTCCATTAGGTCCTCCCTCTCCCACAAAAGTGGGTCACCCCAAGGGGCATGCCCTTGGGAGAGAGGCTCCTATCTTTATACACATTTCACCAAGTAAAACTACCAATGTGGTAGTTTTTCCACTAGAGACTCTATAGCTTTCAAAGCTATTCATATACATTCATTTCCCACAATCCCCCACTTGAATAGTTTTGAAACTATCTCTGAGCATCAACAGTTCCATAAGATCGGGCATAAGCTAAGGTATCGCGAAGATTTGAACCTTAGCGTAGTGGTTACACTTCCGATTTCATAAGGGTGACTCGTAGTCTTGAACCCTATCTCAGACAGTGTAGCACACCGGATCTTTTCATTGAGTTGTGTTCTCTTCATAGCCCGTGCGTTTATGGCCATGCACGTTACCCTGGTTTAGTGAACGCTCTAGCAACTTTGTGCCTCCAAAGTTCCATAGGGAGCGGCCCCACTCCCACATTCACATAGGTGAGTCTATCAAGAGTACCCCCAAAGTAAAGTACTCCACCCCACATAGGGTATAGATCTCATTAAGAGTTATTAACTCAACCTCCATTTCTTTGGGATTCATGCTTCACTATGCATGAACTTTTCGCATACTACTCATGACTTGTTATTACCCATTGAACCCATTTCTTGGGATCTCCAGTCTATTGGGTCGGGTTACCATCACTTGTAGTCCGTGGTTCGGTAGGCATAAGTCCCATACCCTTGGCGGTATTCTGAACTTTCTCTCTAGGTAATCCTTTCGTCAAAGGATCAGCTAGATTCTGTTCGGATCTTATATGATCCACCCTCACTGCTCCTATCGTTAGGAGTTCTCTTACAGTACTGTGCTTACGACGAATCTGTCGTTTCTTTCCGTTATAGAACCGGTTCTCAACTTTAGCGATAGCTGCGGTACTATCACAATGGATCAATACCGGAGGGACCGGTCTTTCCCATAGGGGAATCTCTGACAACAATCCTCTCAACCAACTTGCTTCTTCACTAGCCGTTGCTAGTGCTATCATCTCTGATTCCATAGTTGATTGAGCTAGGATTGTTTGTTTCTTTGACTTCCAAGACACAGCTCCACCAGCGATGTTAAAAACATACCCGCTGGTTGCCTTGGAGTCATCTGATAGGGTATTCCAATCCGCATCACTATACCCTTCTAGTACAGCAGGAAACCTTTGATAATGTATACCAAGGTTTGCTGTTCTCTTGAGGTATCTCATGACCCTCTCTATAGCATTCCAATGCTCTCTACTAGGACAGCTGTTAAACCTGCCGAGCAATCCCACGACATATGCAATGTCTGGTCGAGTGTAATCCGCAGCATAACGGAGACTGCCAATGATGCTAGCATATTCTGATTGTCTTACACTGTCTCCAGTGTTCTTAAATAGCTTTACACTAGCATCATACGGAGTACACGCAGGTTTACAGTCGAAATAGTTATACTTCTTCAAGATCTTCTCTATGTAGCTAGATTGATCTAGAGAATAACCATTTGCTGTTCTAGTTATCTGGATTCCAAGCATAAACTTTGCTTCTCCCAGATCTTTCACTTCAAAGCTCTCTTTTAACATGGCTTTTGCTTCATTGACCACGTGAATATTTGTTCCAAATATCAACATGTCATCTACATACAAACATATGATAGTACAAGTGTTATTTTCTGACTTGCAGTAAATACACTTGTCACTTTCATTCACCTTAAAGCCATGTGAGAGAACGAGAGTGTCAAACTTCTCATGCCACTGTTTTGGAGCCTGTTTCAAACCATATAATGATTTGTCTAACTTACAGACTTTCGAGGCATGTTCGGGGATAACAAACCCTTCTGGTTGTTCCATATAGATTTCTTCATCCAGATCACCGTTCAAAAAAGCGGTCTTAACATCCATTTGGTGTACCACGAGATTGTTCAAGGCAGCAAGAGCAATCATTACACGAATGGATGTTATTCTAGATACTGGTGAATAGGTATCGAAGAAATCTATATTCTCTCTCTGCCTGTAGCCCTTAACTACTAGGCGAGCTCGGAACCTTTCGATTGCACCATCAGGTTTCCGTTTCGTTTTTAGAACCCATTTATTACCTAAGACTTTGCAGCCAGGAGGTAATTCTGTTAGATGCCAAGTCTTATTAGCTTCTAACGATTCCATTTCATCTATAACGGCCTCATTCCAAAAATCTGCATCTACGGAAGTTAATGCTTCCTGCAAACTTTTTGGATCTTCGAGGGTGAATACTGTAGTAAAGTCATCACCAAAATCTTTAGAGATTCTAGCTCTTTTACTTCTTCTGAGTTCATCCTCAGAACCAACACCCCCACTAGTTCCGTTATCTCTAATAGCGGGTAGTACATTACCCCCACTATTTCTCGTTTTAAATGGAAATCGTGTCTCAAAGAAATCAGCATCAATGGATTCTATTATAGTACGAGCATTCAAATCATAAAATCTATATGCCTTACTATTGGCCGCATAGCCAACGAAGACACATTCATATGCTCGACTAGCCAATTTAATCCTCTTAGGATCCGGAATTCTTACGTAGGCCAAACAGCCCCACGTTCTTAAATAGGACAGATTAGGTGGCTTATTCTTCAAGATCTCATAGGGTGATTCTTTTCTATTTGTTTTTGGAAGACGGTTTAGCACATAGCAAACTGTCAACAAAATATCACCCCACCAAGAAGAAGCAGCTCCAGAATTGAGCATAATAGCCACGACTAATTCTGTAAACGTCCTATTTTTCCGCTCAGCTTTACCATTCATTTCTGGTGAATATGGTGCCGTGGTTTCATGAATGATACCATGTGAGCTATAGAATTCCTTGAAGGGATTAGAGTCATACTCTGATCCTCTATCACTCCTAAGTCTTTTTATCTTTCGATTGCACTGATTTTCAAATTCAACCACAAATACCTTGAACATATCAAGGGCTTCACTTTTGTTTTTCATCAAATAAACAAAGCAATAATCAGAGCAATCATCTATGAAAGTGATAAAGTATCTCTTGCCAGACCTAGTTAACGTCCCATCTAGTTCACAAATATCAGAATGAATAAGATCTAAGGGTTCTGATTCTCTACTCACAGATTTATGGGGCGTTTTCGTTATTTTAGCTTGGCTACAGAAATCACATTTATCAAATTCATTCATTGAGAGTTTAGGGATATGCCCTAGCTTGCTTAAATTCTTCACAATTCGTGTGTTCACATGACAAAGACGAGCATGCCAAACATTCAAATCACACACCATGTAAACTGAAGAATTCATCTTATTAATTTCGACATTCAACTTGAACATCCCATTACATGCATATCCCTTTCCCACAAAACTCCCATTCTTAGTAAGGGTATACAAGTCTGCCCCAATAGTTTGATTAAACCCAGCCTTATTAAGAAGATATCCAGAAACAAGATTCTTCCTTATCTCTGGAGTGTGCAACACATCCTTGAGCACCATCTTCTTCCCAGAGGTGAAGTTCAGCTCCACTTCACCAGAACCAGCAACCATAGTAGTGTGGGTAGTCCCCAACAATACTTTCTTGTCAGCAGGTGCTTCTGTGTATGTTTTGAACATAGCACGATTGTTGCATACATGCTTCGATGCACCTGTATCCAGCCACCATCCTTCTGAGTCACCGGTGAGGTTAACTTCAGCAATCATATCTGTGATCATGGCTATCAAATCCTCTTCTGTCAAGTTAACCCTGGCCGCAGCGGCAGGGTTTTGCTTGTTCCGGCACTTCTTTGCCATATGACCCGGTTTTCCACAGTTATAGCAGATAAACGGTGGGTCATTCTTAGAGGTTTGGGCCATGACCCTTTGGTTACCTCGAGAGGCACCATTCTGGTGGGGGCGGACCTGCTGGTTCTTACTCTTAAACCCTTTCTGGTTAGGTTTAAGAGCTCTAGGGGTGGGTCGTTTAGCAGTGACGACCATCACCTCTTCTTTCATATCCTGCTTGCGGGACTCTTCCTCAATCCTTAGGCGAGTAATCAAGCTTTCCAGTGAAAATTCTTTGGTTTTGTGCCTAAGCATATTCTTAAAATCTTTCCACGAAGGGGGCAGCTTATCAATAATGCAAGCAACTTGAAATTGATCGTCCAGAGGCATACCTTCAGAGACGATCTCATGAGCTATTTTCTGAAGTTCGTGGGACTGAACTTCGACGGACTTGTCA